GGAGGCTGGAGTGGCCCAGGTCCCTAACGAAGCCATCGCCCCTCGTCAGGGGAGGAAAAAACAAAATCCCAGGAGGCCGAAGGGCTGAAAGGCGACCGAGGTCCCGCCGTCGGGGCCGATGGACGGAGCCGGCGCGGTGCATCCGAGGGCAGGGAAAATCCTGCCGGCAGCTCGGGAGAGCGGTGCGCAGGGCACGGAGGACGGCGGCGGGAGGGGAGAGCAGCGGCCGCTCATCCCTCGGGAGGACGGCGAGGGCTGGCGGAAGAGAGAGGCTGGGTCCTGCTTCATCTGCTCTTCCCAAATTTTTCCTGCGGAGGCCGTGTGTCAATCCCGAATGCCGGGACCAAGGGCTGAAGAAGGTTGCCACGGGCTCGTGGCCGGGATGGGAGATGGTTCCTGCCACGGGGAATGCAGGACGGCGAGGGCTGGCGGAAGAGAGAGGCTGGGTCCTGCTTCATCTGCTCTTCCCAAATTTTTCCTGCGGAGGCCGTGTGTCAATCCCGAATGCCGGGACCAAAGGCTGAAGAAGGTTGCCACGGGCTCGTGGCCGGGATGGGAGATGGTTCCTGCTACGGGGAACGCTACAGCTGGGTGTGACGGGGACACGGAGACGTCCCCACCGGGAGAGCGGCCCCCGCCCACCCTGAGCCCGCAGGGTTCTGGGTGTTGCTTGGCTTTGCCAAAGCCCATCCCGGTGCTGGGCATTGTGCTCTGGAGAGGGCCAGGAGCCGGTATGGGTTGCCACGGGCTCGTGGCCGGGATGGGAGACGGTTCCTGCCACGGGGAATGCTACGGCTGGGTGTGACGGGGACACCGAGACGTCCCCACCGGGAGAGCGGCCCCCACCCACCCTGAGCCCGCAGGGTTCTGGGTGTTGCTTGGCTTTGCCGAAGCCCATCCCGGTGCTGGGCATTCTGCTCTGGAAGGGGCCAGGAGCCGGTATGGGAAACTCCGGATAACCGGGAATTCAGTGCCGTCGCCTGGAGAAGTGTCCCCAGCTGGGAAGTCACGGTTCCTGCTGCTGCTTCGGTGGAGGTTTGTTGCTGGTTCGGGCTTTTGAGGGTTTCTCAGCACCTTCCCAGCGCCACGGAGCGGACGAGAGGAGGTGGAGATGTGCCCCGTCCATCGCCTCTGCGGGGGGTGGCGGGGTGCGGGCAGAGGAGCTGTGCCCAAAATGCCACCCGCCTGCAGCCACCGTGTCCCTGCGCCGCGTGTGACCAGCCACCAGACACGGTTGTCTTGTCTGGAGCAGCTTTTGCTGGCCCTGGGGTGGCCCTGGGGCCAAGGGACCCTCTTCCCACCCGTGTTTCACCGCTGTGGGGTGGGAGGCAGCGACCGGCCCGGCTGGAGGACGCGGCGGGTACCCACGGCTCGGTAATCACCCCCCCCCCCCCCCCCGCCTCCTTTGCCAAACTCGTCCTCGTTTGGCCAAGGTGCCTTTGCCAGCCCTCCCTGGGCGCCGCTGCCCCCGGGAAGCGCCGTTAATAAGGCCTCGCTCCGGGAAGCGCTGGTCCCAGCGGCGCGGAGGAGAAGATGGGAGGATTGTCCCCAAAACGGGGTCAGGCAGCGGCGGGGGCTGGAAATGGAGCGGGGCGGCGGGAGGCAGCGGCTGGGCACAGGGCACCGCCTGTCCCCTCGCCAGGGTGGCACCAGAGGCCGGATTTTGATGGCTCAGAGGGTGGTTTGGAGGAGAAAACAGGGGAGGTTTGGGAGCCAGGTGGGGTGTGGAGGGGGTGAGACACCCCCCCATCCCAACAATGGGTGCCCTGGCCTCCAGCCTGCCAGGCTGGGGGGGGGGTCAGTGTTACCCGCTGCTAACTGATGCCAATTACACCATAATTAATGAGCACGCTGCTGTGGTAGAGAGCGTCGCAGCGGCGGGAGGGGATGGGGGGGAATCAAAGCTCTGCAAAACACAGGTGGTGTGGTGGGGGGGACAGAGCAGCCCGTGCCCCCCCCCCACTGCCGGGGGTGTCTCATTTCCCCCCCTCTCGGAAGAGAAATCTGGCTCTTGTAGGACCCTAACTCTGCCCCATAGGGTTTTTCCCTTTGTTTTCCCAATTCCTTGCCCAGAACAGCCCACGGTGGAGACCTGGCCCCTCGCCGGGCTTCCAGCTCCCCCACCCCACCAAGGAGACCCCCACGCCCAGAACAGCCCACGGTGGAGACCTGGCCCCTCACCGGGCTTCCAGCTTCCCCGCCCCACCATGGAGACCCCCGTGTGGGGCTCAGCCCCAAACCCTTTTCCTCTCCCCCCACGCAATAACCTCGTTGTTCTCTGATGTGGCCAGAGGGGTTTTTCCCCCCCCTCTTCCCCTCTTTCCAAGCAGCCGCTGCTCCAGCAGCCTCCTCCTCCGCCGGGTGCCTGGGGCAGCTCTCCTGGGCGGCCTCTGCTCCTCTCAATGAGCTCTTAATGAGTTTGCAATTACTTATTGGCAGCGCCGATGCGCCCAGGGCCCGGCGTGCAGCGGAGCAGGATGCGGAGCCGGGGAGAGCATCCCCCTGGCAGGGAGAGGGATCGGGGCTGGATCAGTGGTGCCAACCCCAGTACCCAGTGGGATGCTGGGCTTGGGATACGGGATTCCATCCTCCGTGGTGTTGGGGATGGAGCTGAAGAGGTTTGGGGAGAGGAGCGGCCGTTGCCGTCGGGAGACGAGTGGCTGCCTATAAATACCTGCCAGGGAGCCAGGAAGAGGTGGGTGGATTATCCTCCTCACTCAATGAGATAAATGGTTCTGAAGCTTAAACACAGAACAATTTTTAGTCTGAATAGTAGGAGAAACGGTTCAGGATGCAGAGATGACGGCACCAACCGCCTGCGGGGAGCGGCGGGGTCCCGGTGCTGCTCGGCAGCATCTTGGCAGCCTTGGGGGGGGGTGTCGTGCCACGGGGGCCTTCACCAGGATCAGCCAGGATGTGTGTCCTTCCTCCTTGCTTTCAAAGCTTCAGGAACACCCAAAACCGCCGAGTTGGGGGTCCATGCACTGGGGAGGGTGGTTTGGGCTCCTTCGGGCACGGTGCTGGCTCCTCTGCCCCGGTGCTTCGGGGCCGTGAGGGGGAGGTGGAACAGGAGCTGCTGTGCCAGGAAAAAAGCCCCGTTTCTTCTCTGCTTTGGCCCCGTGTGGCACAAGGATGCGCAGGAGGTTGCGTTGACACGACTGGTGTGGGCATGGAAGGCAACCAAGGATGTGGGACCTTCACCCTGGCCATGGCCAGCAGGATCCTGGCAGCATCCCGGCAGCAGGACCGGCACCGCAGCCAGTTTGCCAGCTCAGGCTCCATAAAGCACCACGAAAGCAGCAGCCACAGCCCCGGGGAAGCCACAGAAGGCAGCGGGCAGGGGACCCGGCGTGGTGGGACACCCCTTTCCCATGGGGGTTCATCGGTTGTCAGCAAGGAGCTGCCTGGCAAAGCTTTGCCAACAGGTTTATCCACGGGGGAAAAAACAAATAGCCCTCGACTTGGAGAGCTCTCTCCTCAGCAGCCGTCAGTCCTTCACCTCCTCTCTCCCTTCCCGGCGGCAGGATCCTTTCTTCTATTTTTTAATTTTTTTTTTAACTCAAACTCCCAACTTCGCCGCCTTGAATAATTGCATTTCAACACCGGTTAATTAAGAGACATTGACGAGCGTGATTGTAAATTCAAGTGTAGACAGAATCCTTCTTTGCTGGGATGCTGCTGGGAGCTGTTTTTAGTCATGCATCCACCCGGAGCTGCTGCGCTTGATCCACCTCCACCTCCAGCGCCCAGACGCCGCGATGGTGCTCCTCTTCTCCGCGGGGCCAATAAAACACGATGGAGATGAGCTGCTTGGGAGATCTTATGAGTCAAGCCGCTACATTTTTGGAACATCATGATGTTGAAGTTCCTTTTTTTTTTTTTTGGCTATTTTTCGCCCAACTTCCTAGGGGAAAAAAAAAATTGATAATAAATTAAGAAGCCGAGCACCGCTTTGGGATGAGAGGCAGCACCACGATGGAAGGGCTCTATCTTCTGCAGCCCCCCAGAGCCCACCCCGTGTCCCTGGCCACCCTCAATCCCGGCTCCATCCCGGCACCCATCGGACCCCCTGGATGCCCTTGGTCCTGGATCCAGTGGGATTGGTTTTTCCTCCCCCCGCCCCGGCCCCTCCGGTGACACGCGGCGTCAAAAATCTGAATATAAAGCGTGATTTTGGTCAATCTGCTACCAATTACAAGGAGGTGGAGCTCAGTGGGGCTCTGGGTTTGTGGTCCCGGTGGGGGGTGATGGAGGGCACCAGAGGAGATCCCTAGGGTGGTTTCTCTGCCGTGGTGGGTGAGTCTGAGCTTGGATCTCCTTGTCGGGGTGGCCGGGGCGAGGAGAATCCACCGCTGGTTTGCTGGGAGCGAGGGATGTCGGTGTTGGTGGCACCCTGGGAGGGGAAAGGGGAGAGTTGGTGGCAGTGGATGGTCAGAGATGTTTGGTGGAGTCATTTGCTGCAGGGCCGTGGTGTCCTGCACCACCTTGGCCACGCTCCGGAGCATCACTGGCTCAGGAGGGGGCTCTGGTGCTCTGCAAAGGGTGGAGGGGACAGGGACGGCTCCTGGGGTCCCCACTGGAGATGGTGGCAGCAGTGGGGAGCCCCAAAGAGCCTCAGCTCCCCTCCAGAGCTGAGGAAACGTGTGTGTCCCCCCCGTGTCCCTGCCCTCCTGGCTCTGCCATGCCCTGAGCCCTCACTTTGACCCCAGACACCCCCTGAGTTGGAGACACGGGGGTCATTGCACCCCCAAAACCCTGCCCCGAGAGGCTGGAGCATCCTCTGCAGAGCTGTTGGGTTGGTGGTCCCTGGGGACAGAGGGGTGGCACCCAGTGGGTGCTGCTCGGCACCGCTCTGAGCATCCTGCTGCCCCTTTGGAAGGTGCTGCAGCCCCCAGGGATGGGATGGGATGGGATGGGATGGGATGGGGCAGGATGGGACGTGGTGGCTTTGGAGCACCCACCGAAATTGGTGACCCCCCCGCCCCGTCTCTGCCTTGCAGCGCAGCCATGAGCGCGGGTTCCATTGAGCAAGAGCCGTCGCGCAAGCTGGCCTGCTGCGGGGTGCCCCTCATCACCGAGGACATGCAGTCCCTGGCCATCCGCACCCTCTCGGGCACCGACATCAGCAAGCACTACGACCTCATCCGCGAGCTCGGCAAGGGCACCTACGGCAAGGTGGACCTGGTGTCCCACAAAAGCACAGGTGAAGGGAGCTGGGGGTGGGGGGCGCGTGGGGGATGCAGCCGTGCTGGGGGGCAGGGTGCCTTGACATGTCCCAACCGTACCCTGGGCTCACCCCCATCCTCTGCCCACCGCAGGCACCAAGATGGCCCTGAAGTTCGTCAACAAGAGCAAGACGAAGCTGAAGAACTTCCTGCGGGAGTTCAGCATCACCAACACGCTCTCCTCCAGCCCCTTCATCATCAAGGTCTTCGACGTGGTCTTCGAGACTGAAGACTGCTACGTCTTTGCTCAGGAGTATGCCCCCGGCGGGGACCTCTTCGATATCATCCCGCCGCAGGTGGGACCCCCCGCCCTTCCCGCGGGAGCCTTTTTTGGGATATGGGGGGTGTGGGGGCTCAGTATCCCCAGGGTGCTGAGCAAAGCTGCCACGGTGCTTTGCTGGCCATGTGGGAGGGGGCTCCATGTGCAGGAACTGGGTTGGCCCTGACCACAAGCACCTACAAGCAAGTCTGGGACCCATCACCCATCCCCTGGGAAGCCTGAATGGGGGGGTGTGGGGGCTCAGTATCCCCAGGGTGCTGAGCAAAGCTGCCACGGTGCTTTGCTGGCCATGTGGGAGGGGGCTCCATGTGCAGGAACTGGGTTGGCCCTGACCATGAGCACCTACAAGCAAGTCTGGGACCCATCACCCATCCCCTGGGGTGGTCTGAGACCCATCACCTGTCCCCAGAATGGTGTGGGACTCATCACACAACACTAGGGTGGCTTGAGACCCATCACCCATCCCCTGGGGTGGTCTGAGACCCATCACCCATCCCTGGGGTGGCCTGGGACCCATAACTTGTCCCTAGAGTGGTATAGGACTCATCACACATCCCTAGGGTGACCTGAGACCCATTAGCCTTCCCCTGGGGAGCCTAAGACCCATCATCCATCCCTAGGATGGTCTGAGACCCATCACCTATCCCTGGGGTGGCCTGAAGACCCATCATCCATCTCCAGGGGTGGCCTGAGATCTATCACCTATCCTGTGGGGTGGCCTGGGACCCATAACTTGTCCCTAGAGTGGTATGGGACTTATCATGCATCCCTAGGGTGACCTGAGACCCATCACCCTTCACCTGGGGAGCCTGAGACCCATCATCCATCCCTAGGATGGTCTGAGACCCATCACCTATCCCTGGGGTGGCCTGAAGACCCATCATCCATCCCTAGGATGGTCTGAGACCCATCATCCACCTCCGGGGGTGACCTGAGACCCATTGGCCTGGGACCCATAACTTGTCCCTAGAGTGATGTGGGACTCATCACCCATCCCTAGGGTGGCCTGAGACCCATCACCCTTCACCTGGGGAGCCTGAGACCCATCATCCATCCCTAGGATGGTCTGAGACCCATCATCCACCTCCGGGGGTGACCTGAGACCCATTACCTATCCCCTGGAGTGCCCTGAGACCCATCATCCATCTCCAGGGGTGACCTGAGACCCATCACCTATCCCCTGGAGTGCCCTGAGACCCATTACCTGTCCCTAGAGTGGTATAGGACTCATGATGCATCCCTAGGGTGGCCTGAGACCCATCACCCATCTCCAGGGGTGACCTGAGACCCATCACCTATCCCCTGGAGTGCCCTGAGACCCATTACCTGTCCCTAGGGTGGTATAGGACTCATGGTGCATCCCTAGGGTGGTCTGAGACCCATCATCCATCCCTTGGGTGGCCTGGGACCCATCATCATCCCTAGGGTGGCCTGAGACCCATCACCCATCCCTTGGGTGGCCTGGGACCCATCACCCATCCCTAGGGACCCACCACCTGTCTCCCCACGGTGGAGAGCACCCCAGATAAGAGCACCCACGACCACGTTGCGTGTGTAACGACACACGGATGTGGTGGTCCCCGAGGTGGGTGGGATCACTGATGGGTTTGGTGGTGGGTGGCTGAGGTCATGTCCCCGTGCCCGCAGGTGGGGCTCCCCGAGGAGCTGGTGAAGCGCTGCGTGCAGCAGCTGGGCCTGGCCCTCGACTACATGCACAGCAAGAGCCTGGTGCACCGGGACATCAAACCGGAGAACGTCCTGCTCTTCGACCGCGACTGCCGCCGCGTCAAACTGGCCGACTTCGGCATGACCCGCAAGGTGGGCTGCCGGGTCAAGCGCATCAGCGGCACCATCCCCTACACGGCCCCCGAGGTCTGCCAGGCCGGGCGGGCGGAGGGCTTCGCCGTGGACACCAGCATCGACGTCTGGGCTTTCGGGGTGCTCATCTTCTGCGTCCTCACCGGGAACTTCCCCTGGGAGGCGGCGGCGGCTTCCGACGCTTTCTTCGAGGAGTTCGTGCGGTGGCAGAAGGGGCGGCTGGGGGGGCTGCCCTCCCAGTGGCGGCGCTTCACGGACAGTGCCCTCCGCATGTTCCAGCGCCTGCTGGCCCTCGACCCGGAGAAGCGCTGCCCCGTCAAGGAGGTCTTCTACTTCATCAAGTGCGACCTGATGGCCGAGGTGCGACGACGACCTTCCTACCGCTCCCGGAAACACGCCGGGGACAAGCTGCCGGCCGGTCCCCACCGTCACGAGGCGGCCGGTTCCTGCACCCCGGCCCCGCTCAAGAGGACCGTCCTGACGGAAGGGAGCGGACCCCGCGGCTCCGAGCCGAGCGCGGCCCCCCCGGGGACGGCCGGCAGGACAGACGGACGGCAGGACAAAGGCAAAGGGCAGATGGTCCTGGCCACAGCAATAGAGATCTGCGTCTGAGGGCGGCATGAGGTGGCCACCCATCCTTGTGTCGTCCCCCCACACCTCCTGCCTCCCTGGGGACAGGGATGGGGCAGGGGGTGCTGCTCGTGGGGGTGGCACGAGCCGGGACCGGGCTCCAGGTCTCCCAAAGCAAAAAAAGAAGAAGAAAAAAAACAAAAATTAAGGAAAAGCAAACAAAAATGAAGAGGAAAAGGACAAAACTGGTTGCGCTCCGTAGCGCCGAGGATGCTGATCCCCCCCCACCCCGCCGGGGAGGACATCGGTGCCCCCTCCAAGGCTCCCCCCGGGGTGGCAGGGGGAGGGGGCTCCCCATACGAGGAGGAAGAGCCCGGGGGGGGGGCTCTGTGTGGGTGGGGGTCACCCCCCAGCACCCACCGGCTGCCCCCCACCCCGTGCCCGTCCCCCGGCCGGGGCGCGGGAAGGCCGATGACCCCGCACGGTGGAGGAGGCCTTTGTGTGTGTGTGTGTGGGGGTGTTGGGTGGGTGGCCGTTTGCCCCCTCCCACCGGTCCCTGTCCCGCTGGTG